ACCGGCGGGGCCCGTCAGACGGCACACGGAGGCTCGGCTCGAGTCCCTCCATCACGGGGCAGGGTCACAGCGCTACCGCAGCCCCAGCCTTTGACCTTAGCCGTCCTCCCAGAGCCGCGCCCAGGGCCCCACCCATGTCTGCCCCTCCCACCTCACACCTTGTGCTGCGCCTTCGATGATGCCAGGAAGGTCCAGGAGCTGGATGTTGGCACCTTTGTACTAGGACACAGGAGAGGGGAGGGGGCTGAGGCCAGGCCACCCAGGAAGGCCGCCCAGCCCAGGGTGGTGGGAGACCCAGGCCAGGCTCAGCAGCCACATCTGGGCCTCACCCCACCCACCCAGGCCGGCACTGACCACGGCCTGTGAGCTGAGAGCCGCCGTGAGGCCCACGACCGCTGCACCTGCTGCTCGAGGCTTGGACCGATGTGGGATGCAGAAGGGTCCGGCCGACCAGCAGGGGCCAGGGCACAGGGGAGTGGGCAGGGCTGCCGTGTGCCAGCCCGGCTCAGCCTGGTCCTAGTGGCCAGGACGCCCAGAGATGCCAGGGCTTGAGGGCAAAGCAGCCCGGCCAGAGCCTGTCCCCATGCAGGGAGGCCTCCCTGGCAGACGCGCCCTTTCCCCGGGGCCCCAGCACACCCGCTTACTTCAATGACACCGGGGATGCACGTCAGGGTGGTGAACTCATAGGACGCCGCCTCACTGGCTGTGGAGGTCATCAGACTCAGGAAGGTGGACTAGGAGAGAAGGAGTCACTGCACTGAGGGGTCTGCACAGGGCAGCAGCGACAGCCCCGGCCCCAGTGGCTCCCCCCCCTGCCGCACTCGGGGGCTGTGGGCTGTGGGCAGCAGCAAGAACCCCTCCTCGACTCCAAAGGGGACACCTGCTCCAGGTGCAAGTCACGTCTGGCCCTGCCCAGTGCCCCCCATCTCTCAGGTCCTCAGCCTATCTCGGTGGACTGGGGACCAGGGTTCTACGGGTGTGCTCGCATAAACCTGAGGCTCTCCCTCCTGCCGCTCCTGACCTGAGATCTCAGCAGGAGGGGACCTCCCAGAACTCCTGAGACCAGTGCCTGAGGAGCTGAGCTGCTCACGGGGAGGGTGCTTGGTGGGGAGCTCACGGGGAGGGTGCGTGGTGGAGAGCTCACGGGGAGGGTGCGTGCTGGGGAGCTCACGGGGAGGGGGCGTGGTGGGGGGCTGCGGGGGGGGGGGGGGGGGG